ACTCGCAGGCCATGCGGAGTTGGAGCCTTGGCTCCGAATGCCTTGGCTTTGGCCAGCTCGTCTCGTGCGCTGAAGGTTTTTTTGGTGCGTGTGGCTGCAGCAAAAGGACAGAGGAGAACCTTGGGCCATCTCCTCCCACCCATCACCAGCCTGGTGGGGACAACTTCTGGTTTCCAAATTCTATGGCACTCGAAGACTCCTCGCCATTCATTTATTTGCTGAAGAGCTGCAGAAACGCAAGATTGCGTGTCAGGCTCATGCAGAAAGCTGCCCAGCTCTGTCCTGCCTCAGACCCACAGGTTAAGGGTAAGACCTTGCTGAGCTGCACCAGCAGAGATGATGCATATGGAGGAATCCCAAGGGGATACAGAACAGCTCTCCAGAGCCAGGACTCTGAGGCCAGGCTAGTCATTCCTCTAAGACAGTGGTTTTCAACCATTTTTCATTTGCAGACCCCTAAACATTTTCCAATGGAGGCATGGACCTGTTTAGAAATCTTAGACATAGTCTCTGGACCCCCAGAGGTCTGCGGATCACAGGTTGAAAACCACTGCTCTAAGGAATCACACAGAGCAGCCCTCCCCGTTAGCCTGCCCTGCCCGAGAGCCCAAGGGGAAAATCCTTACAGACCTCCTGTGCTCACATTACTCCTCCACACACAGCATAGTACACATATACTCAGGGCCCTTGCTGTGCATAGGCAACACTAAGCACAATGCACTGACACATGCTCACTCATGACGCACGACACATATACACACGCTTACAGCCCCCCTTTGCACACAGGACAATTATGGACAGGGGGCACACCCCCATAGCCGTCACTGTACATGATGCAGAGAGAAAGCTTGGAGCACTGGGACTGATGCAAGATCTGAGGCCTGAAGCAGAGGGCCGAGAACCAAAGTTAGGCCTGGAATTAAAGCAAATGCTGACAAGTTCACTGTTCAGTACACAAACTTGGCAAAGCCCTTGCTAGCATACTAGGCCCTAAATATTTATGTAAATATATTTCAGCTGGTACAAATGCATTTTAATTTAATACAAGAGAAGATGGTTTAAGGAAATAAATAGGGATGTGTTGTTCAAACCAGTAGAAACAAAAAAGACAAACAAATGTTATAAAACATGTAAGGTGGGACGTAAATTGTTTATTCCAGTTTTGTTTTAGTTTATAATGCCGAGGTATCTTGCCTTAACTCTTTGTGGTAATATCAAGGTCTAACGGGTCAGCTACCCGAGCAAAGCTGGGACAATAGATGGAACGAACGCACACATACAGGACACACACTCATATCACACAGGCTCACTACATAAAGCACATGCACACACTCCCCTACCATCCACAACAGACTTCCTGATGATACACATTATGGCACTCCAGCCTCATCGACATGCAGACTCACTACACACAGCTCGCCCGCCCCACGCAGTCTACTCACAGTCTGCTCCCACGCATTATTCATAGTACACTCACTCAGCACGTCTACTCTACTCACTGATCACACACACACACGCGTGCACTCCCAAAGCACACGTGTGCGCATACCCGCACACACACACGACGCCAATTCCCTTGACCCCCATCAATGCACATGCTCTGCCCCAGAATTCCTGTTTCCCCATGTCTAACATGCAGGAGCTGCCCCAGCCGGGAGCTCTCAGTCTCCCTATGGCACTCAGAGTTAAGCATCCCTTTCCGCTCAGGAAGAGGGCAGAGTGCCCCGCCCCCAACCCTGACCCTCCAGCAAAGAAGAGATTCTATTCATGGTATTTCTAAGCAACAAGAACTTCCCCTCTTCATGAGACAGAGGGCCATTCTGGACTCACCCCTGCAAATTATCCTCCTGCTCAGCAGACCCCAGCATTTCAGCTGGTGGAAAGGGCTTGGCCAACTTTTAGAACCAGCTACAGATGCCAAGCGCAGCCCACCACCAGCAAGGGATAAGCACCAATGTACAGGGAGCAACCATGGAAGAGGACATCACACTACATCCCTAACTCGGCAAACACCTGCCGTCAGGCTAGGGCGCAACAGACCCCGCAACGATGGAGAACTTGGAGAGTAGAGTCCCCCTGACAAGCAACCGGTTGTATCTGAGGTCCATTACAGTATTTGGCCTCAGACTACATTGGCCTAACAGAGGCTATCATTCTTCCTTGTGCACCCCTCTGTCTGCCCGTCTCCACCTGGTTTTGTCTTAGATTGTAAGCTCCTTGGGGCAGGTACGATCCGGTCTTTTTGTTCAGTGTTTCTGCAGCACATAACACCATGGTCTGTGACTGGGACTCCTAGGCACTACCCACAATAAACAGTAACACTGGACTGAGAGGCTAGCTTTCCCCTAAACTTAGGGGAGAAAATAAAAGTGGTGGCTGTTAGGAAAGGGTCACTTGTAATGGTAACCACCGTGTACCTGCAGGGCTACAGCTTTGGGATCAGGCAGTGGAGAGGGGAAACCTGGTCAGCTACTACTCTTGATAAATGCCCTTTCTATCCAGTAAGCATACTGGCAATTGGAAAATTATATGGAGGGCTGGTGAAAAAGGGCTACTATAGATGTCCTTGGGGTAGCCCACTGGTCTGCTATGCTTCGTTCATGGAGATGCCAATCTCACTTCCAAGCATGAAGTGCTCACCAAGAAGTCAAGAATTTAGTTTTCCATTGGGCTCCCTGGATTAAGGCATTTGCAGGAATCAAATTAGTCATCTGACCCTTCAGCTCTATGTGACCTTTGAGACCTATTGGTCGCCACTGGCAAGAAGGCGTAATAGGGTCAGCTGGCTCAAGACACCTCGGGATCCACAGCTGTTGGAGCTAAGAGAGTGTAACTCACACTGAACCTGAAGGGGTTTGCAGGTGACAGCCAAATGAATGAGGCAATGCAGCTGATGGGAAGGAGTACTATTGAGTGGCTGAAGCTGGAGATGGGAAATCAGGACTCCTGGATTCTATTCTCAGCTCTGCCTTAGTGACCTTGATCAAATCTCCATCTCAGTTTACTGATCTGTAAAATGGAGAGGATACCACCCACCTCACAAAGGCAGCATGTGAGGCTGATTTAGTAAGTGTAATGCTCCTGGGGATCCAAGCATGAAAGCCACTGGAGAAATGCCATTAACGACCAACAGGGCAGGGCTGACATTGATCCAAAGCCCCTATGCCTGGAGAAAAAGAGGGGATGAGATATGCTTACATACATACAGGACACACTTTGCACTGACCACATCCTTTTGCACCTTCACTAAAGCAGGGCAGGGCTTTTAATCGGGAGAAGCTTCATTCTGCTCCATCCATCTTGAGTGGCAGGTCTGGTGAGGACCACTTTGGCCCAGTGAAAAGCAGCTGAAGAAAAACCTATAGGAAGCGTGCCTCCTGTTGAAGTGGGCAAGAGATATCCTGGTTTCCCCTCCTTCCCTCACACAGGGATCAGTCACTCATAGCCTCCTTGCCTTCCCAGACACGGCTCATGTGGTTCACTTCTTGAAAGAGAAAATTCCAAACCCCCCCTCCCCCCGAGAGTATTTTTGCAGCATTCAAATGACTCCAATCCCGAGAACACAATGCACAGTGCTGTGTGCAAGCTAATGTTTCATAAACTTCATGTGTTTTGGTTGACTGCCCTCAGGGAGGTCATTTTAAAATGATTAGCATTTTCATAAGATGCTCGGGGCGCTTCTAGCTCTTTTTCTGCAAATTTCCTTAAAAGGAATAAAAAACCCTGTTTTGCCAGGCACTATTAGGAATCATTTCAAGTACTTAACCATCATACATAAGCAATGCACATTAAACGAGTCGCATCTCATGCTGTAACTGGTAGCCATATAGCAGAACAGCCAGCCCATTTTACAAGCATGTTGCTAAAGGCAAGGACATTTGCTCTGAAGTCACATCTCTGAAGAAGATTTCACATTCCCCACCCCTCTTCACCACCTCCCAAACAAGCCCACTGAATCGATTTCAACACCTCCTATTAGAAGTTTGCACCTGTCATTGCACCTGATCACAAGCACCTACAAGTTCACAACAGATTGGAAAAAATGTTTCCTACCTGGCATTTGCCATGTAATTAAGTTTGCTCAGCTTTTAGTTAAAAAAAATACATGAAAAAGGACTCCGGATTTTTTCCCCTATTAATTTTAGGGCTTCAAAAGAGGTCTCTCAAGTCACCTCTTGCCCAAGACGAAAGGTGAGCTGTTAACGGTTGACTAGCAGAAAAATTCCTTCTCTGCTAAACTGGGTCCCCCCCCCTTTTTTGATATTTTTCGTCAGGATAAAAAAAAAGTTAAAAAAAGTTAAAAGCTCCTCAAGGGCTCCCTAGTAGCATTATTAAAATAGCAACATTGAGTGTTCACTTTAAAAAAAATTGTTGGCTAATACAATAACGTTTTAATAAAAGAAAATTTATTGGCCAACTCTACATTTGTCCACTTGGAATTTCTCTCCGGTCTCCGAAAGCTTTTCCCACACCTTAAAAACGAGAAAGAAAGAAAGAAAGAAAGAAAGAAAGAAAGAAAGAAAGAAACCACGGCTCTGAAAAGCTCAAGATGCTCTTGTAGCAAAGGGTACGACAAGCTACAAATAAAATACCAACTCATACTTCTTCTGATGCTTCAGAAAAAAGTCTGAGAAAGAAAATTTCTCTCTCGCCTGCTCTCTCTTCTAAGCATCTTCTACTAGTCAGACCAAAAGGGTTCCCTGCAGGCAGCCTCTTGAAATACTCACACAACTACCTTCCCGGCACCCAAATCAGCTGCTTTAGATTTGCAAGTTTACACAATCCCCCTGGCAGTTCCTCCTTCCCGGAGTGAAACTTGCAACAACAACAAAAAGGCTCAGATGCTCGCAACTCAGGGGGTGGGGGGCAAAAAATAAAAATAAAAATAAAATAAAGAGGCTGGGGAAAAGGCAGATTGAGAAGCTATTTGCTCGAGGACTGGGAGACGGGGATGGGGGGGGGGGAGAGAAACAGCAGCGAGATGCTGCACTTCAACTCACCTTGAGCTGCAAGTCCTCTGGTGGTGATTACACTTGCTATCAAAGTGGCCACATACCAAATCATAGTACTACCGACCATCAATAAGGAGCATCATCCTATCTCAAAAGTGCCCTTCTTGCTGGAGCCCATTCATTGCAGAGCCCCTGGCCGGTGCAAAGGATCCTCCAGCTGCCCCTTTTCATGCCCTCGTCCCTGGCCCCGGCTGCCTCCCCTCCACGCGCCCCATCCCTCCTTCCCTGGCGCAGCCCCCGGCTCCCTCGCTCCTGACACGCACCAGGCACCTGCGCTAGGCGCTAGGGCGCAGCTCAGCCGAAGTCTCAGGGCGTAGCCTAGCCTGGGCTCTTTAGCTGCTCTGGTCCGCCCCCGCCTGGCGTCTATTGGCCGGAGGGAAAGCGAGTGGGCGTTGATTGGCTTGGGGCGCTGCCAGTGCCGGGGCGGTGGGCAGAGGGAGGGAGGCAGGCCCCGTTTCAAGGTGGGTTGGAGCGCGCAGTGCACAGAGCCGCAGAATCATGCGCATTGCCAGGGAGAAGGCGTCGGGATCCCCCCCCCCCCCCCCCGCCTGCTCACACTGCATGGCCGGGGCCGGCAGGGCAGGGGGGGCTCCCGGGCTGCCACCCGCGCAGACCCGCAGAGGGGCGGGCAGGGCCTCTCACTGACCCGGCAACTTCGCCCTCTTCTCCCTCGCCTGCTGGTGCTCCTGGGCGGGGAAGGGCCACCCCCAGCCTGCACCGCTCCTCCTGGGGCCACCCGCTCCCCTGCACCCCCCCCGTGCCACCCCGGTACCCCAGCCCCCCGTTTCCCCCCTCTCCCCTGCACCCCCAGTCACCCCACCCCGGTACCCCAGCCCCGTTCCCCCCTCTCCCCTGCACCCCCACTGTCAGCCCCTGTTCCCACCCTCCATCCCCGGTACCTCATCCCCCTGCACCACCCTCTCCCCTGCACCCCCCACCCCAGTAGCCTGTCCCCCTGTGCCACCCTCTCCTCTGCAGCCCCACTGTCACCCCCCTCCCCCGTGCCACCCTGGTACCCCAGCCCCCCGTTTCCCCCCTGCACCCCCACCCTGGTACCCCAGCCCCCCGTTTCCCCCCTGCACCCCCACTGTCACCCCCACCCTGGTACCCCAGCCCCCCATTTCCCCCCCTCCCCTGCACCCCCACTGTCAGCCCCTGTTCCCACCCTCCATCCCCGGTACCCCAGCCCCCCGTTTCCCCCCCTCTCCCCTGCACCCCCAGTCACCCCACCCCGGTACCCCAGCCCCATTCCCCCCTCTCCCCTGCACCCCCACTGTCAGCCCCTGTTCCCACCCTCCATCCCCGGTACCTCATCCCCCTGTACCACCCTCTCCCCTGCACCCCCCACCCCAGTAGCCTGTCCCCCTGTGCCACCCTCTCCTCTGCAGCCCCACTGTCACCCCCCCACCCCCTGTGCCACCCTGGTACCCCAGCCCCCCGTTTCCCCCCTGCACCCCCACTGTCACCCCATCCTGGTACCCCAGCCCCCCATTGCCCCCCTGCACCCCCACTGTCACCCCACCCTGGTACCCCAGCCCCCCATTGCCCCCCTCTCCCCTGCACCGCCACTGTCACCCCCACCCTGGTACCCCAGCCCCATTTCCCCCCTCCCCTGCACCCCCAGTCACCCCGTTCCCACTCTCCATCCCCAGTACCTCATCACCCTGTGCCACCCCCTCCCCAGTAGCCTGTCCCCCTGTGCCACTCTTTCCCCTGTATCCTGCATGCCACCTGCTGCCCTCCAGCCCCATCCCCCTGTGCCACCCCCAGCCCTACACTCCTCTCTCTCTGCACCCCTCACCATCTGCCTCCCCCACTCTGCGTGAAGAGGTGGTGCCCTATCCTCTGCGCTCTTTGTTTTGTGCATCACCACTTGGTGTCCCCTCCTTTGCCACTCCCTCTCCTTATCTGCCTCCAAAGAGGGGCATGTGGCCACCCCCTCTCCTTGCTCTTCCCACCAAGGGGAAACCCTTCTGTCCCCCAGTCCACACCCCCACCCTTGAGTTAATCCCTTCCTCCGGGAATCTGTGCTCTCACTAAAAACCTTTTCCCAGGGACCCAATCACTCCCCAAGGGAAGCTTTTCCCCATAACAAACCCGCCCTGCCCAAGCAACCAATGGGACAGTTGGATCTCAGCTTGGCTGCCCACCCCACATCAGGCCCAGGCCTGGAGAACAGAGAAGACAACCTGACCACAGAGTCACCCCCCTCCCCCTGTGCTACTGTGGTACCCCAGCCCTGTTTCTCCCCCCCCCCCGCACCCCACCCCGGTACCTCAGCCCCCTGTTCCCCCTCTCCCCACACTCCTCCCTCATCAGCCCACAGCTTCCTCCATGTCATCCGGAGATGGTCCCCTCTCCTGTGCTCTTACAGATAAGAGGGGGGCATGGTTGACTAACAATCAGATACACACACACCCCCCCTATGGTGTAACCATGGAGACTGCATCCCATCTGCTCTCTTGGGAGCGGGAAAGGGAGGCCCATCCCACCCCCAGCCCTCTCAGATCCATAGGGAAATATTGAGGGAACTCCTCCCTGGCTGGCAGGTTCCAGTTATAGTGGGCCTTCTAGAGCAGCCAGGTCTAGAGAGAGCTACCTGCTATTAAAGACCTCCCTGCTCTTAATATGTGGGCTGTAGTAACTGAGGTGAGCCTGTGCAGTAGGGACACGATGGGCGTATTTCTGCCACTTCAGGGGTAGCTAAAGAGGAGGCGGAAATACCTCTGGAGAAGAGGACTAAGGCCGGGCTACGGGAGGAGAGGGCAGTCCGATTCAAGAGGGAGGAAGTTCTTGTACCTAAGGTACTGGACTGAGACCCAGGGCTTCAGTTTCTGTCTCTGCCACAGACTTCCTGCTTGACCTTGGGTGCATCACAGCCAGGTTTAAAAGAGTGCTGACCGCACAGCAGCTCCCAGTGTGCTGAGCTCTTGGGAACAGCTGGCCACTCACTTTGACTCATAGAAGGGAGCTGAGACCTTTGGAAAATCTGACCTGTCTCCCCCCCACAAACCTACCTAGAAAAGGGAGACAGCCATCCTTTCTTTCTCCTTCCCTTCATCTGCCCTCTCTATTTAGATTGTAGGATCTGCCAGGCAGCAACTGTCTCTCACTATTGACATGCACAGCACCTAGCACGGGAGGCCCTCCAAGCACTACCATAACACCAGGAAATCACTCACTGGACGTAAAGGGAGCAGCAGAGGAGGTCGTGGGTGGAGGAGGGGATTTTAATGGGTAGATGGGAGGGACTTTTTGAGACAGTGAGGAAAGACACTCCCCCCCCCCCCCCCTTTGTCCCTGAAGATGCCCCACAGGGGAGATACACTTGTCCCCTGCACTCTCCTGAAGAGTTTCACTCACCTGTCCCAAAACACATCACAGGGTTAAACAGGCCACCCAGCTTCCTGGCGAGAAGACAACCCCAGCTAGGAGGCACTTTGGGGGTCCTGGAAGTAGAGTGCTGTGAGGAGACAGAGGATCTGGGCCATGGCTGGGAGTGGAGAGCCCAGGCATGAATTGGGAGAAGCATGTGACTTTGTGAATACATCTACGAACTGAACCAGAGACCTGGCTTCCCACCCAAGCTGTGTTTGTAATAGCCATGCTGGTTGTGTGTTACTGGACATGTGGTTTTGCATTACTTATGTTCTTCCTTTCAGCTTAAATTTTCCTCCCTCTTGTGGTCCCTGGAAATAGACAGAAAAGTTCCTTGAAGCAGATTGTTACTGCAGTTTGAGAGCCACGGGGGATAGTGCAAGACTGGGGAATATAAAAAAAAACCCACACCACACCATTTCAGTAGCTTCCTTAATTATGCTCATTAAGCATCAGGCTTTTAGAGGGCCTGATGGAGAGGGACACAGAGGCCAGCAGAGACCTTGCAGAGGTTCCCACCAACCGTAGCCCAAGTTGGAAGCAGTTTGCTTTGCCAGCAAAACCCGAGCCCTTATAAAAGTCTGACTCAGCTCTTCATCCTGAGGTAGGAAGTGAAAGCTTGCAATACACGCGCCTCTGGTATCAAGGGACTGATCCAAAACCTAGTGAGAAATAGAACTCTTCGCATGGACTTCAACAGGCTTTGGATCAGGCCTCAGATCAGGCCTCACATGACTCTCCCTCAACCAGATTTCTTGTCTTTTCCTAACTCCCACCTCTGTTAATGTCAGCTCAGCGGCTGTGGGGGCAGGACTGGCTGGAACCGCTGCTTTACAGGAGCGGTAACTGCCCTTGGTGGGCACAGTGCACCCAGTAACCATGGGCCTGATTTTCAAGAAGTGCAAGTGGTGGTCACTCAGCAACGTGAATGCTCTGCACTTTGTAAGCCAAGAGCCTCCTTTTCCTAAGGCAGAAGACCTACAGACCCCGTGATCCCTCTAGACACCATAGCAGAGTCCAGAATGCACATAGGTTTTCAGTTACGCACACAGAACACTGGACAGGATCACACATTACAACAGCAAATTGGACATAACTATCTTATCAAGCATCTTTCGTACCAACTTGTAGCCAGTCCTGCTACAGAGTTAAAAGATACACTTCCAAAAGGGAAAACCAACAGCAAAGAGCAGGAAGGGAGAAAAGGAGTTTAGGTGCTTTATTTGTACTTACACACGTTGTTCTTCACACAGCGCACGGTCAACCTGTGGAACTCCTTGCCTGAGGAGGTTGTGAAGGTTAGGACTATAACGGGGTTTAAAAGAGAACTAGATAAATTCATGGAGGTTATGTCCATTAATGGCGGTTAGCCAGGATGGGTAAGGAATGGTGTCCCTAGCCGCTGTTTGTCAGAGGGTGGAGATGGATGGCAGGAGAGAGATCACTTGATCATTACCTGTGTTAGGTTCACTCCCTCTGGGGCACCTGGCATTGGCCACTGTCGGAAGACAGGATACTGGGCTGGATGGACCTTTGGTCTGACCCAGTCTGGCCGTTCTTATGTTCTTAGAGTCAACATAGTAGGTTCCAGATTTAAGCAATGAAAATATTCTTCCTGCCCAGACACACCTACTCCTGGTGTTTTCAGCTGGGTTTTTGCCCCCCTTCTAAGAAACACACACACCCCAATTACACATATACTAATGAAGCTAGCCCTGGGAGGCATCAGAAGTATCATTAGCCTGTGATAGATGGAGCCAGACCAACCTTGCTCCTGGTACGTGGCTTTCAGAGCCGAACAGCAGAAAGAAGGAGCCATCATCATTCATCGAGAGACGGAAAATATGTTCGTCAGTCGGTTCACACCCTTGTTTTTCCAGTCTAATTTGTTAATTATATGAGATTCTTTCCCTGCTGTTTTCACACTTCATTTCTATTTGTAGCTGTATTTATTTCAATAGAGAGGGGAGAGTCCCTTCACTGTGCGTCTCATTTTGGGACCAAGCTAGGATCAAATGAGGACAATAGGGAAAGTTGTTTTAGGCAAGTGGTTCTCAATCTGGACTATACCAGGACCCCTCAGAGCTCCTGCACAACCTGCTGGGATCGAGCCAGGAGATCCCTCCCATTTAGCCATACGAGAAGGGCATGACAGCCATGAGCCCCAGGTCTAGGTCGAAGAGCCAGTCCAATGGTTAACTGGACTGGAAGTAATTCACACGCACATTCCAGAGACCAGCTGAGGAGCGCTTGCAGCTGTCACTGAAGTCAATGGGAGATGCAAGTGTTCACCACCCCAGGATGGCACAAACCTACTTCACTGGGGCTAGGGGCGTTCTCGCCTGTCCAGAAGGCCAACATGTAGCTTTCGCACTCATTACATCCCATGGTGCTCAGACTAGGAATTAAGAGACCCTTTTTCTATTACCTAGGGCTTCAGTGGTGCATACATTATTTATATTACCGTAGCCCACGGACCAGGCCCCCCATCATGCTAGGCATTGTACAAACACACACCAAAATGCTCTTTTGCCAAAGACCATACAATGGTGCCTTGTGCAGATCCTCAGCATAGGGTTGAAACCCACCCATTGCAAATGGAGTTTCAGGCTTAACTCTGAATTTCCAGGCACATGGCAGGTTGGGTCACAGACCCGACGCTGTTACTACTGAAGCCTGTGATAGCATCACTAGAGCCAGCTGAGGGGCTTTGGTGCTTCGCTAAGCCCTTAACTTTGATCAAAGCTCACATATGGCACTGTGTGTGTCTGTCTCCCTCCCATCACAGGAGCAAGTAGTCTAGGATGCTAGCCCTGTGACCCAGCCACCCCCACAAACCTCACGCCACAGCAGCCACTGTGCCAAGACTGCCAAAACCCACGCCTGCCACGTGCTTTCACTCCACCCCCCACAAGGTAGCCCCATCAGCTGGTCCCACAAGATAGAACCTTCGACCCCCATCCCCTCTGGGGACAGATGACCAGTTGGAACAGACAAAGGTATCATGGCTTTGATGGGGGGGGGGGGGATGCACTCATTCCTGAAGCTAGAGATGTCCCTGGGGCAACTCAGGTGTAAATCTCCATCGAGGCCCTTTTTAAAGAACTGAACTTTCAGCAGCAAAATGAGGACATCCCCAGCCCTCATATATATCCCTCTCCTTTTCCCCTCGCTGACCTGTGGAGCCCATCTCCTCTGGAACTGCTACCCGCTCATCTGTTGTGACGGCTGCCTCTGAGGAGCCGTAAAACCCATATTTTCCAAATCATTGGGAGAAAAGAAAAAGTTACTGAACACCAGGATTGAAACTTCAATAACTTGGCCTTTCTCTGCTGCTTCTATCCCACAGCCAAAAATACACCACAACCATGTCATGCTAATTATGGATGACTCAGTTGACAACTGGCCACTGTTAAATTTAAACCATCTTTAAATGAGAAAAAAATCCTCACTTTTTTTTAATATAAAGATTACAACCAAAACACTTAGAATAGATTCAGCAGCCAACTCAGCTGGTGCAAGCACACGTAGCTGGATGTGCACCAATCGAGCTGCACTGATTACGCTAGCTCATGAGATGCTCCTCTGCATTACAGAGTAGAGGATGACTGGCCAGGATCCTTAGACAACACCTGGGCACAGATTCCGACCTCTCACATGCTGAGAGAGATGCCACAGAGTCAGCTTACTCCCTTCCCCATCATTGGTCTGGCCAGGCCTCTGTTTCCTTTCTGTAAGTCAAACAGTACCTACGTTGGGCTTCCAAATTATATTTTCCCTTCTGGGGTTTGTTTTTATTAACAGACAAAGTTCCACTCAACACAAGCCTGCTCCTGGGGCCTGTCTGTCTAAAACCCCCACCACACTGGACTTCTTCCAGAGGGCGCTCAGAACTCTGCCTCATGCAATCCGCAGAGGCAGTCGTGATCCCATTCATTCATGTGTTCCATCTGGAGTCCCCCAAATCACCTGCTTTCATGGGACTCTGGAAGAGGCACGCTGAGCCTTGCATGTGCCAAAGGGCCAATCCCCCGGTAATGGTGGACCGGCAGGACCCCAGGCCTCCATCACAAAAGGTGAGGCCCTGATCCTGCAAACACTTAGGCACAGAAATAGTGGGACAGCTCAGTGGGTGAAATCCACTCCCACACGGAGGGCCTGCGTGAGGTCAGTGTCACTTAAGCCTTCAACGGGGGCTTAATGTGCTGGCCCTATGCCAACGGGGAGATTTCACTGTACTTGCAAAAAATTACTCACACGTGTAAGTGTATGCAAGATCAGGACGTGAATCTCTTAAGGCTTGATCCACAGGGAAATCTGCATCCCACATGTCAGGAATCTGTGTCCCATGTTTGGGGGAGGTCCCATAGCATCCCATATTTCAGGGGGTTCCCTATCCCATGCATCAGATCTGATTATCTCACAGCTGTCCCCCCACACCCAGTTCTCGGAGCAGGGAGAAGGGGGCCTCCCTGTCCATGCTGCAACCTTGAGAGTGATTGGGTCAGGGCAGAGTGCGTTTTCTTTTCCCCAGCACACACAAACCCCCTGAAAATGAGAACTTAAAATGGAGATGCTGAGCCAGCCCTAAGTGTCGCTGTGAATATAGCGAAGCTGCGATCTGAAAAACAAAACAGCCCCTTGACTGAGCTTTTGAAGGACAAATGGTCAAACAGGCTCAAGTTTGCATGTGGCTTCCGCTGGGTCTTTTCTATTAAGTGCATTTCTCCTTTCGCTTTCCCTGGGTGATCAGCTGTTCGTTCCTGGCTCATAGTAGCAGCTGGCTCACATAGGCAACTCTTCTGACGTTCCGCTCCTCCTCTGGCACCAAGTCTCAGAACAATCCACCTGTGGTATTTAAAGAGAGACGTGGTAATTCATGCAGGGAGGGTCAATTGAATCAGATTTGCAACTCTCCCTCTCATCAGCCAGTTTCCAGCGTATGGTGTTAGTCATCAATCCCACCAGCAGACTGACTTGTACAACAGTCACCGTATCAGGCTGTAGGAATCGTGTGTCATGTCTTAACCTTATCTAAGGATTCAGCTTTGGTAATATAAACCCGCAGTCTTCTCTTGTCAATTTTGTAACAAAACTCTCTTAGTCTCCCCTCTCCTCTGCATTTCCACCTGGAAATGGAAGTGGAGAGAATGCATTCCAGTGGAAGCAAATTCCTAACACTTCAGGAAGAAGGAAAAGCAAGATTCAAGCAGTCATTGGGCCCGATCCTGCAAGCTTTGTTCACGTGTGTAATATTTACTGATGCAAAAAGTCCCATTAGGATAAATCCTTACTGCCCTTCTCACATTCACTTCAGTGGGACTTCTCCTCGGGTGAGTAAAGGGTGTAAGCTTGGACTCATTTAACCTGATCTCGCTGCGCTGAAGTCAATAGCAAAACGTCCATTAACTGCAGTGGGTGCAGGATCCGGCCCATTGTACATAAAATATCACAGGCCTGATCCAAAGCCCATTGAAGTCATACAAAAATGGGTTTGTTCCTGCTGGGTGCTGAGCTCTGATTATGGGGTGCTGAGTATGCTCAGCTCCACCGACTTCAAAAGAAACTGAAGATGCAAGATCAGGCCATAAATTTTCCAACTCTGCTGGCACTTGGGTCACAGGCTGCATTACCAATGGAGACAACTAGGAGGGTCAGACCTTACAGTTTTATTTCTTTAGAGGTCATCCAAACGTTTCATCGTCAGAGAAAATATCAGAACATTACAGAAAATAAGTAAATCACTGTAGGTCAGATCCTTCCCCAGGTCTAATCCCGGACTTGCCTTCACTGCCCCCACGCAAGTGGACTGCAGGACCCACCCAGAGACCCATTGACATCTGTGGGGTTAACGCTGCGACAAGGGCCCAAATGCAGGATTGGGGCCTAGGAGACTGGCCCTGATCGAGCAAAGCACTTGAGCATGTGTTTGACTTGACACACATGCTTAACAATCCTTGACGCAGGTAACCACGCTTAAGCGCTTCGTTTGGTTTCAGCCACAGTTAGAATACAGCCTCGGGTCCTTTACTCAAAGGGTTTTTTTTAAAAAAAAACTTGTAATCTCTGTTCCTTTTTGCTGGTTTTTTCCCCCTGAATCTGTAAAAAAACACAAAAATAAACTTAAAAATCAAAAAAAGAGAGTCATTAACCTTCCTTCCTCTGGGAAGGAAGCTCAAACCCAACAGCCTTGCCAGGAAGTGAAGCAGACTGGTTTAGCATCACTGGGCTGAGATTCACCCCTGTGCAGGCCAGGAATGAATTGCTCCCTAACTGAGCTGAGAGAAGGGCTGGAAAGACGACAAACAGCGTCTCTGGGGAAAGGGAATTCAGCTTTAATATCTTTGCCATGTTAATAACTTAGGGCTGAGTCACAACTCTCAGACATCAGGGACAGGCTGAGCCGGGGGAGCACGGCAGCAGTGGCAGAGGGGGACCATGTCTGTACAGGGCACCAGGGACAGCACACAAAGTGCTGACACTTGCTGAACTAGTAGCCAAGAGGGAACATGCCCTTCCCACAGCTGTACAGTCCCACCACTAGCCGATGCCCTCAGGACACTCTTCGGGGGTGCAGCACTGATCCATGCAGCAGCCGCCGCACTTGCATTCAGCCCATGCCATCAGCTGCACTGTGCACAAGTACACTAGGATGTTAGTGCCTTCGTATGGCTCTCCCCCTGGCCCACACAGCATATACATTCGGGGCAACTAGAATTTGCCCCGTGGGGGTATCAGCAGCAACGTGTTGAACAAGATATCCCATACAGAGCCTGAGTCTCCTGTCACTTAGAGCGGTTTGCACTGCTCTAGCTCACCTTTCTTCACGGAAGTGACTCATTGGCCCTGGGCTCACAGCGTGGAGAATCAGGTGCCCTGATTTGTCTCCACCCTATGTCCCTTTCATAAAAGCAGCACAGAGCTCAACCTCGGAGCAGAAGGAAATGGGGAGGTGAGAGATCCTGGAGCGCACGTGGGTCCTGCATTCTCGGCACAGCCATGGGTGTAAATTGGCAGCGCTCTGCTGAAGTCGGTGGGCCACTTTCTCCATTACCCTCCAACTTGGGTGGCTGTCTGCACCAGTGCCATGCTCTACCATGCCAACTCGCACTGGTGTAGAGGGACTACACAAGGATGAGGGCCGTGGAGAATCGGGCACAATGTGGCTACACCTACAGCAGCTGAGGATCTGGTCGCACAGCTACTCCCTTTCCTCTACAGCTTGCAACAGCACAGCACACTCGTACCGGGAAAGTTGCTAACCCACGCGTACAGCATCTCTGATTGGATGAGTAAACCCAGGGGCTCCATTGAAACCAGAGGGGTGGAGCTGAAGTGTGTTCCGTTCGCTGACATTAATTGCACTGTAACTGCTTTCATCTCAGACATAACTGTGGTGTAATATTATCTAGATCATGGGCTCATACAGCAACCCCAGCACAGCTACATTTGCCACCTACGTAATTACTCGCTGGGACGGTATGTAATCAGACAGGGGAGCCACAGGGTGAGTACAGTGCTCTTAGACAGCTTAGAGACCGCCCTGAGACTGGGTTGACTTCATTCATTGGGACGATGACAATAATACTTCGCGCATCTCCAGCACTTCTCATTGGAGGATCTCAAAGACGTTTTAAAAGACATACGAATCATGCCTCACAACAGCCCTGGCTGTCAGGTAAGTAGCATTATTCCCGTTTTTTTTTTCACCTGGGGGAACTGAGGCACAAAGGTCCAGATTTTCAAAAGTCCTCAGATCCCATTTAGGCACCAAAATAAAATGGCCACATTTCCCATAGTGCTGAGCATAGTGGGAGCTGAGCTGTTTGGAGAATCTGGCCCCAATTTTGGGTGCTGAGCACTTGAAAACCTGGCCCTGAGTATTTTAGAAAATCTTGTCCAGAGAGAGCAAGTGACTTATCCAAGTCATCCAGGGAGTCAGTGGCTGAACGGGGAGTAGGCCTCAGAGCCAGATGCCCAGTTCCCCATTCTCATCTCTAGACCCTGCTTCCTTTCCTGATCCCTTAACACAGAAAATATCAACCACAACACAAACTACTGCTGTTCCTGAATCACGAGACCTGGATCTCTAGCACCAAGAGTCCTCCGCCCTTTGACTGCTCCCTGCACAGCCCATCCTCACAGGCATGCACAAACCCCGCAGGTGAAGAGACCAGCCCCACTGTGAGTGGCAGGCTTCCAGCTGAGACATGCTTCTAACAGATGAACCCAGAGGGGGGGACCCCTGTTGCCTTTTGGAGCTGCTGGGCTCTGGGCCTGAGCTACAGTGATGTGCAGGATACACAAATGGGGAGTCTTGCTCCCCAACTCATGTGGGCTCTGTAATTCCAGCTGCTAGAGTGGGAGAGACCAAGAAACACCTGGAAAACAAAACATTCCTGCACCATGGCCAACAGCTCCTGAAGGTTCAATCTCCAGCTGGCAGAACATCTGGAGAATAACTAGGGCCATGGGTTCAGTCCCCATTAGCAGAAGACCCGGACAGTAACCAGGGAGTCTGGGTTCAATCCCCAATGCAGAGAAAAGTGAGTGAGACCTGTTCCTATATAGATTAGTTCTGACTGATTACCTAGCTAGCTCTTCTCTGTCATCTGAACAAGGAAAAAGCCAGTTGAAGACGTGACCACCCAGTGAGGTTGCAAGTGCACCCCCCCTCCCCTTTGGCAGAAAATGAAAGCCACAGGCTGAGCAGAGCTGATCTCTGTGGGTGTGAACTCTATGGTCACTGTGGACAAAGCTGGGAGCAGTGAGGTCCAGCTGAGGAGTCTTATGATAATTGGACCTACAGATATAGCAACTTATACTCATGCTCACAATCAAGGTAAGACGTCACAGTAACCTGTTGGTGGGAAAATGAGCAAGAGAGAGACAAAGACTGAATTAGTCCAAACAAAAAGGCCAACTGATTCAAGGACTGTGCTAAGATCATGCCTGGTAAACAACAGTGAGAGTGAAAATCAATGAACCAAAATTGCTGCCTTGGAAATTAGGCCTAATTGGTAGACAAAAACAACAAGAGGAGGGGCCTCTTCTTCCCATCACTCCCTTTTGGGTTTGTTAAAAATAAGATTTGGGAGGAAAATATGGATCACCAGACAGCGGCTACTGCTACACTGGCTGACGAGAGGAAGTGGAAAGAACTAGCTTCAACATATCAGCTGCCACTCCCACTGCCTCCTGGGACCCTAAACCTCCTTCATCCTAATCCAGAGAGGTCTTGACCAGACCAGAGGGAGGGAGCCAGATGACCTCGCCACCTCTTCTGGCTCCAGCTCATCCCAACCATCAGCGGGGATACGAGACTTCCCCACACACACCTGCCCTGTGTCCTTTTCCTTCTATTTCTTACCTCTCTCCTTTTGCCTTCTGTCACGGAGTCCCTGGGCAATGCTCTGGAACTGCTCCCCATGAAGCCAGTCAGGACTCTGGGGCAGTCGCCTTTCTGTGAGCAGCCTGTCTTCAGGACACGCAGCTCACTCAGCTTCCACCTTCCTGGGTCTGACCTCGGAGCATTCAGCATCCTCTGCCCCTCCGTGCGCTTCCCACAGCGAGTCCGCTCAGGCGGGGCTCCTGGGGAAGCCAGAGGGTCCTGCACCCCAACTTCGCAGTCAGACGTGACTCTCAGCCAGCCAGTAAAACAGAAGGTTTATTAGACGACAGGAACATGGTCTAACACAGAGCTTGCAGGTGCAGAGAACGGGACCCCTCAGCTGGGTCCATTTTGGGGGGCAGTGAGCCAGACAACCACGTCTGCACTTCACTCCATGTCCCAGCCAGCCCCAAACTGAAACCCCCTCCAGCCCCTCCTCCTCTGGGCTTTGTTCCTTTCCCGGGCCAGGTGGTCACCTGATTCCTTTGTTCTCCAACCCTTCAGCTCTCACCTTGCAGGGGGGGGAAGGGCCCAGGCCATCAGTTGCCAGGAAACAGGGTGTCGGCCATTCTCTGTGTCCAGACTCCTGCACACACCTGCCCTCTAGGGCTCTGCAATGATCATACACCCTTACTCCACCCCCTAGATACTTAAGAACTGCATAGGGGAAACTGAGGCACCCCCACACTATTCAGAGGAAACATTAAGAACAGTCCCACTTCGTCACACCTTCTGTCTAATGAGTCTGGCTTAGCTGGCCAAGAGCGTATATTTCTCAACGCTGCTGTAAGCCTGTGAGCAGAAAAAGGCAGCTAAATGCAGTGCCCCAAACAGCCCGATGCTAGTACAAGTGTGCCAGGTCTCAAGCGCGGCTGACAAGACCACGTGCTGGGCCTGTGTTTTCCAGCGGTGAGGTTACAAGTCAAAGGCAACCTCAAAGACAGAACCTTCATTTTCTTGGTTTGTTTCTCTCCCGCTTTTGCATGCATTTGTCTGGCTTTGCCTGCTAGGAAACGGGATCAGACTTGAACAGTGGCAATAGCAGCTCCAGCCCATTTCAAGTCACAATTTCACCGTCCCCAAAACAGACAGTTACCACCATCTAAGAAACAAGGGGGGTTTCCCTTCTAAAAAACTCTCTCCAGCTAAAGGGAAATGGTTAAAAAGAAAGGCTTCTTTAATGCTTTACATTTCAGATGCTTTAACTACTTTTCTTTCTGGTATCTTTAATAAAAGGTTAAAAGGATTGTTAGTGGTGTGTTTGCCATGGGACAGAGCAAGCTCAGGTCTCTGTATACCATCCAGAACCTTGTTTAAAACTGTTTAATGCTGGGTCAGGTGGATCCTGTAACACCTTTGACTCTCTGAGCCCATTTATTCCATCTAACAAGAGACAGGGGAGGGACTCAATTAACCCTCTCCACGCCCGCAGGCAATTCTCCCCCATCCCCCAGAGCCGTGTAAGGGCAGCCCAGGCATGGCAGCGTGAGACACAAGCGGGCCCAGATGCAGAATTCTGACTCTTTGCAAGTCACCATGCTTCTCAAGAGAAAGCAGGCATATCAAGCCTAGGGAGCGGCAAGCATCATCCCAAGCGTGAGTGGGGCCTTTAGGGAACATCTACACTGCAATGAAAGACCTGCATCACAGCTAAAGCTGGCCCAAGTTGGCTGACCTGGGCTCCAGCTGTGGGGCTAAATATTTCAGTGTAGACATTCGGGCTCTGACACCCTGTGTGGGAGGTAGGTCTCAGAGACCAAGCCCCAGCCCAAACCCAAAGGTCTGCATGGCAATTTTTAACCCAGCAGCCCGAGCCCCGTGAACTGGAGTCAAATGGACTGAGCCATAATCCCACTCATAGGCACTCAAATGCAGGATGGAGCTTTCACCTGCATCTTGAGCTGATAAATCCAGGGGAGCGAAAGGCCACAAGCCAACTTCTCTTCCTTTCATTCATGCCCATTTTCCTGGAGGCTGGCTCCTTGATATCTCCTTGGCTGGTTCTCTTCTCCCCTCCACATCAGACTCAGGGAAGACAAGCTAGGATTCACTCTGCAGTCATCTCTCTCCTTTGCTGACCAAAGCAGCCCAGCTGAGCTTTAAACACAGCTGCTTCCCTCCCTGGCCTTCATGACGCATGGGCTGGAGGAACGGACAGCACCCGAAGCAGATCCCCTTGACAGCTGTCTCTCCCAGATCCAACGCCACTTCCGCAGGGCCAGGCAGCTTCATTAAAGAGAGAGTTCAGCTCGGAGGAAGGAAAGGCACAGCTCCCACTGCTGTGTCACTCTGAGGCCGACAGACAGACTGCAGGGAAACAGCCTGAGGACCTCATGTGCTCTCCAGCTGATGCCCACATGCCCCAGCTGCAGGGAGGAGAGAAGCAGAGCATTACTCAAAGAGCCCTTCTAGTGGGGCTGGTGTCCCAGGCATTCCCGTGGGGAAGTGAGAGCTGGTGTATCTAACCCTCCCTACCCTCTGTCTCTTGCATTCCCAATGACATCAGGAGGAAGCCATCAAAGGGTTTAAAGGAACAAGACACGAGTTGGAGCAGGTGAATGGAGTGAAGAGAAAGGGGTGGGGAGGGAAAGCTAAAAAGACAAGGGAGAAAGAGACTGAGAAGGAGAAGCCCAGGGGAAGTGTGAAGCAGCAGAAGATATGGGGAAACAGAGGAAGAGAGACAAGGAGAAGGGAGGGGAAGCGAGGTGAGGGAATGGAGACAAGCAAGCAGGGAGAGCGTGCATGCATCTCCATCCAGACCCCTCACAGTGTGATGGAGCTGGGAGGAGCCCACGCACAAGCCCAGGGCTCCGCTATTGGAGATGGGCTGGCTGCAGAAGGGGTTATTTATGGCCCGAGCTTGGCCTCCAGTTCACCCTCCGCTTGGCATCTCCAGCTCCATGCTGCAGACAAGGAGCACAAGGGCGTCCCTGAATGACAAGTAGGCAGCCAAGCTGATAGTTATTCAAGGGGCTCCCCAGCCTCTCAGGGCACCTCCCTGGGGGCAGGAAATGGGGCAGATGACGAGTCCAAAGGGACGGATGCCACAGACAGACAGACGGGATCACCCTGGTTTGAGGGATGGAGGGGGAAATGGGATAAACAGCAGGCTCTGGATCAATGCAGCCACATTTTTGCCTCACTCTTCCTTCATCTTTCCTTCCTTTGGCCGCCATTAGGCCTTTCCAGGGACTAAAAAGCACATACAAAGGAAGTGCAGCCTAGTGGTTAGTGCAGGGGACAGGGCTGGGATCCAGGACTCCTGGGTCCTACTCCTGGCTCTGGAACCTTGGGCAAGTAACTTCCCAACCTGCAGGTCACTCTCCCTCTCCGTTAAATGGGGCTAATGATAAATCTGCTGGAAGGGGGGAGATGTTCCCCATTGGTTCCCTCCTGACAGTTAGCCAACTGGGCAGCCCAGCCTGCACCCACCCTGCTATGCAATGGGTGCCAGTGTCTCTCTGCTGCATCCCGAAGCCTTTGCACTGAGCATCCCTGCAAATTCCAGGGTGTGTTTAGGAACCCGAGGTGCCCTCTGCTCATGGGGGAGCTGAGAGAAAAGAGTTTCCTCCCCCGACAAGAGGAAGAGTCAGGGCAGGCAAGCAGGGACAAGCTGTTCAGGGCTGCTGGTACCAATGCCCCTCAAATGAGGTGTCCCGTTTGGCCTGGGCCAGAGATGGCCACGCAAGGCCTGGGCCAGGCACTGCCCACGATGAAGCGATTTCTGGGGTCCCAGACCAGGAGCTTCAGAGAGCAAGACACTGAGGTGCAGGAAGGCCGGCCTGTAGCAGCAGAAGGAGGGGAGGGAGCCAGCAGAGCGGGGGATGGTCTGGCTGGGAACAGCCCCCCCCCCCCTTTCCTGGCCCACACCCAAGGTTACTCAGGGGACAGGGATGGTTCAAGACACATTCCCCAGGGAGGGGCTGGGATCGATGTTCATTTCAACCCAAACACCATGGTTGGGTTTGTGTCGTTTTGGTAAGCAACTCCCCAAAAGCTGTGTTTTGGTTCCAAAGGACCCAGATTTTACTGGGGGATGTTGGGGTCAGCTACCAAACCAACAAACCAGTTCTTTGCTCTGCTTGAGCGGGGAGGCTGTGCTGGCTCATGCTGCTGCACAGAAGGGCCTTCTGGAAACTGGCCAAGAGACTTCGGGAAGCTCAGAGGAGCCTTTGTTAAGGTGTTCAGGGACAGCCACTGATGAGGGCCCAGGGGCACTATTCATGCCCTTCCCCATCCACACTGGATGGTAGAATAGCCCTCCTCCTCTGGGCGGTGCCTGCAGATTGCACTCAGGTCAGCATGGGAAAACAGCCCAATGTGGCTGCTGTATGGGCTGAGTTTGCTGGGTCTCAGCCTTGTCCCCAGCACGGCTGCTGAGAGGCTGGGTGGGCTGAGTTTGCTGGGTCTCAGTCTCATGATATGAAGTTTCACAAATCTCCAGTGCGATGGGCACTAACTCTGTGGCCGCTGTGGTGGAGAAGCCAAGTCGTGCCTGATCTCCCTTGTTACTGCTGGAACTCATCACCTAGGACAGGGCTGAGGCCCCATGGTGCGACAGCTTGCCGTGCGCCCCGTCCCCGCACTGAACCTAGGCTGTAGGCAAACAGTACATCAGTCTCTAAGGGCCTTTCACCAGCATCATGCACCCAACCTCACCATTTCTTTCTTTTAAAGAAAAGGGCTCTTCAAAGACCCTCACTTGCCCACTGTCCCTTTTCTGCTCCACCCCGCCCCCATCCTCAGAGATGCAATACCGAGACATGCCAACCAGCTCCCCACTGCAACGTTCCATGACAATATCTTCCCCCTTTTAAATGGTTGTCTGACTATCGGGAAATCCACCTGTAACAGGATTATTCTGAGTACACAGCATGCCCAAGCTGTCTGCACTACCCGAGCCTCAGCCTATTAGCCATGAGAGAGAGATAAGATAGACTTACATCAAAAAGTGCGGGGGAAAACCACAGACACACACAAACATCTCCCTCTTTGGGGGTGGTGGTGAATGGAGAGGAAACCTCAAGTGACAGTCTATTCTTGATCATAGATGATGCTCAGATGCCACAACATGTGGGGCAGTACAAGACCTAAAATCGAATTGCAACAGCTAACAGAGCTCCCAAGAGAGAAAAAAATCTGCTCATGGAAGAAAGAAAAACAGTTTTTCCTAATCTTCTCAAAATAGGGAGCCTTTAGACAATATTCACCTTGCCCCCTACAAATGAAATAATGCTCAGCCCTGATCATCTTCAAAGTTCTTTGCAAACACTGAATCCTAACCGTATGCTTATCCCCATTTCACAGATGGGGACACTGAGGCACACAGAGTGAGGTATTCCCCAGCGAACCTGTGGCAGAGTGGGAAATAGAACTCCCAGCAGCAGTTATATGCACCAGCCACTGAAATCACATGTTAGTCTCTCTAAAATCCATGTTTTAAAGTGTCATTGGCTACATGTTTATCTTCCAACCCCCAAATCTACCTGCCATGCGGCATCTCCAGAAGATGCCGCATCTCTAATTAGCTGAGTCATTTTCTTCAGACAAACAATTTTTTTAAAAAATTATAGTCTACATCAAAATGTGCAGATAGAAAGAGTGTAGACTCTGTGTGTGTGTGGGTGGGTGGGTGTGTAGGGGGTCTAGATGGAAGATTAGACACAGCCTAATCTTCCAGGATTGCTATACTGGTAAGGGACTCAACAGGTGCTCAATGTTCTTTCAAGATCTTGGTTTTCTTAATGCCAAATTTTTACCCAGCATCTTGGCCCAAAGTCACCCTGGCTGTGTAGTCTATGGGCTTCCACTTGTTTTCACCAGGGACTCGTGTTGCACTTTGCCAGCACCAAAGGTCAGTGGCCAGCAGGTGGCACCAGCGGGAATCATATCTAGCTAATAGCTGCAATAATGAGAAAAACAAATCCATAAATCATGCACAGGGATTCTGTGGCGCTGGCTTTTATCCACCCCTCCCACTTCAGGATCGTCCCGTGGTCGCATTTCTCAAGCAGCCGGGCCGTGCACCCACCATCACTCAGCCAGGATGCATTTCTGAGACACAAGGACTACGGGCAGGCTGGGACCCTTGGCAAAAAGGATCCAGGAGGGAGTGAACTGAAGCAGAAACCCCTCATGCCAGGAGCAATGCAGCTAGTGGGGAAGGGGACTGAAGCAAGAGGTTCTGGATAGATTCAGCCAGGCTGGCTTCTGCAGATGGAGTGACTGGGAAAGGGATGGGGCAGGCCTACTCTAGGCCACACAGCCTGCCCCTTGGGTTGGTAGGACTAAACAAGGGGTTTGTTCCCTCTGCAGGTCTCCGCAGCAGGACAAGCCTGTGTTTGCGTGGGGAGATGAAAAGCCCTGGAGTCCAAGGACAGAGATGGCTCTGCAGGGCAGACAGAGACGTGACCCCTGTAGATCTCCCTCAGCTTAGCACCTGCACAGAGACATCCCAGCTTGGACAAGGAAGGGGATACTGGGACAAAGAGCACAGAGCCAGACTGCTTCTGTCTGGGAGTGCGCATCTCGCCTTTCCCTCTGGATGGGAAACCAGGCAGGACCTGGCCCCTGGCACAGACATTCACTCTTCTGTGTCAGTGGTTCTCAGCCAGGGGTACGTGCATAGGTACAGAAACTACGGGTGTGTGAGGTGTTGCAGCACCGCCAGGTTTTGTGCAGGGTTCTGGCTACCAGTGCCATGCCCAGGGACTCCACTGCCAGCCCTAATCCCGGCTGCCAGCCCCTGTGCCTAGGGGCTCCGCACCCGGGCTCAGCCACCTGTCCGTGTTCCTCCCTTCTGGAGCCACGGCCCTGCTCCTGGACCCAGCTCTAGGGGTCAGTGAGGGGCACAGACAAGGGTAAGGGGG